CAGCCCGCTGCCCCACCGGCGGTTGGTCCTGATTCCGGGCTCGGTCGTTGTGCTTTTAGGCTCGCGCGTCGCTAATTAGATCGGCCCGTGGCCTGGACCTTTCAACTCGGCGCCTGCGCTTCCGCTTGCGCCCGCGAGGAAAAAAGGATCCCCCACAACCCCTGTTTCTTCCTTCGCTACAGCGCGGCCCGCCCTAGCGTGCTCGGCGCTCGACTTGTTTCGCGCGCCCGCGTACCCAAAAGTATCCCCACCAGCCCATCCAGAAACGCTGCCCAGGGGAGTTGAGGTGATCAAGAAAGTGGGGGAGAATGCAGAAGAACAAAGGGCAGAAGAAACCGTCCGATACCCCAAGAGGGGGAGGATGGCGGAGGAGAAGGCGCCGGGCCAGGAGAAGGAGGAAGAGGAGGGCGAAAAGGAGGAAGGAGGACGAGACACTGGACAAGGAGGAGGAGGAGGAGGAGGAGGAGGAGGAGGAGGAGGAGGAGGGGCATCTTGGCGAGCCCAGGGCCGTTTTCGAGCGTCTTGGATGCTTCGGGGATCCTCTTGAAGCCTCGCGGGGGCCTCTCGGGAGCCTCTCGGAGGCATCTTGGGCGCCTCTTGGGGCCGCCGGGGCGCCTCTTGGGGTCATCTTGGGGCGCTCTTGGGAGCCCTAAAAGCGCTCTTGGGGCCATCTGGGAGGAGATCGATCAAAGAAGAGGGGTTCCCTAATTCGCCTCCCCCCTTGGGAGCCCTAAAAGTCGCCTCTTGGGGCGCTCTTGGAGCGCTCTTGGGCGCTCTTGGGGCCGTCTTGGGTCTTTCCTGGGGCCCTCTTGAGCCATCTTGGAGACACCTTGGAGCCATCTTGAGGCCTCGGATGGCCATCGGAAGCGAAACGGCGAGAATGCAGCAAGAAGCATTGATTTTCCATAGGTTTTGGAAGGATTTTGGCTTATTCGGAGCCTCCTTGTGGAGCTCTTTGGCCACTTGGAGCCGTCTTGGAACGGTCTTGGGGCCTCTTGGAGTATCTTGGGAGCCATCTTGAGGCATCTTGGGATGGGCTCATCTTGGAGCTCATCTTGGGCTCTCCGAGGCGCTCTTGGAGCCATCTTGAGCCATTTGGGACGCTCCAACCCCTCGCGGGACCCCCCTCCAAGCCCAGCGGAGGGGGCAGGGGGGAGGGGTAAGCCCCTCCCCGAAGGGGAAGAACATGTTCGGAAGAGAAAACTCCCTGGACCACCCACGCCCAGAGTGCTGGTGGGATGCATGTGTTCTCAGTTTTTTGTATGGTCTTTCGCGTTTTCGCTTTATATACCTCCCGACGCTCCAAGACGGCTCGAGCGGCCCCAAAGATCACCCCAAAATGGCCTAAGATTGCCCAAAGAGAGCGCCCAGACGGCCCAAGACGCCCCCCATGACTGCCCAAGAGGCTTCCAAGACAGCCAAAGCAGGCCCCAGGGACCGATATTTTGGGTTCTAAGCCCTCCAGGATGCCCCAAGAGGCCCTCAAGAGGCCCCAAGAAGCTTCCAAGAGGTCCCCAGGAAGCCCCCGGAGGCCGCCAAGAGGGCCTCAAGACTGCCTAAGAAGGCCCGAGGGGTCGGAGACGCCCCAGGGCCCAAAGACTGCCCAACAGGGCTGCAAGATGGTCGGAGACGCCCCGACAATGTGGCACAGCGTCAAACGGACAGCACGGAAACCAGCATAATGCGCTTTAAAAAGCGGCACGGCGTCCAACGGACAGCACGGGAATAAGCATGATGCGCCTTATAGGCATTGTCTTCTTTGTTGTTCTTCTTCCTCGCCAGTCACGCTCGCCTGTCCTCCCAAGTTCGGGGGTCCTGGCAGTATCCGTGTTTTTTTTCCCCCGCTCGGCCTTCTCTGTGGCCGTATACGCCGGGCGTGTATCCAGCGCGTGGCCTCCAGATGTCCCACACGTGCGTCCAGCCGTGTGTGCGTGTGTTTCTGGTTTATTGGTGGGCCTTTGATGTGTAGTGAACGGTATGTGTGTATGTTGTTCTTGTAGAGTCGGATGTGTAAGTCTAGCTGGCATTCCTTAATCCGCATGTGTTATTGGTGGTTCAGTGCGCTTGTTCCTTATACTTGTTGTACGCGCGTTCGTTCCTTAACGCATGTATTGCAACCGTGTGACTTCTGTATCCCACGCATGCAAGCAATTAGTGAGTTAGTGTGATTGTCTGCCCTCAGATATACGTGTCATTGCCTCTCTCTCTCTCTCTTTTTCTCTCTCTCTCTCTCTTTCTCTACCTCGAAACATGATCGACCCACGACCTCTGAAAAGAATTCAGAAATGTGAGGCATGATAATGCTTTCAATAGCCTGATTGTGCCATGCTGAATTGCGATGTGCCATGACGCGATTGCTTTCTTTAGCGTTGTGGATCGAGTCCTCCTTAGCATCCGAGTCCTGACCGAACTGATCTGCAACTTACGCTCGAGCTGCCTGAGCACATAGTAGCCAGCCCAGAGCTGGTTGAAGTCGAAACGTGCAGGACGTTCATTCAACTCGAGCGCACAAAATCCGACTCAGATCCGACAAGGGACGACACGACACGGGGCACAGGCTCACAGACGCGCCGCAGGATGTGCCATGGGCGCAATAGGGGATGCGCCAGAGGACTTGTTTTGGGACGTATTACGGGACGTGCCCTGGACTTGTCAGGAGTTTGCCACGGGACGTGCCATGGGGCGGGCCAGAAGACGTCATGCCAGGGGGCGTGGCAAGGGGCGCGCCACGGAACGGGCAAGTGAAACGCCTGAGGACGAGGACCAGCCAGGGAACGTGCCACGCCGAGGGGCGTGCTAGGGGACGTGCCAGGGCAAGTCACGCCAGAACGTAGCAAGGGATGCGCCGTACAAACGATTGTCCAACGTCACCTCGATCGAACACCGCGGCAAGCGGGCCAGCAACGGGGCACGCTCTGCAACGCGCACTCCGTACAATGACGCGCACGAGACGGTCTCACAGAGAACGCGCCAGCGCGCCAGGGGACACCCCGCGGGCGGGCGGAGTTGGGTTGCGACGCCCATTATTGCGACAAGCGTTGTGCTCGAGACATTCTCGACACATCCTCATGTTAGACATCCGCCTGGGCGACCTGGACACATGAAAACAAGCGTCTCGCTCGAGGCATCCTCAACACATCCTCATGTTAGACATCCGCCTGGGCGACCTGGGCACGTGAAAACAAGCGCCTCGCTCGAGACATCCTCAACACATCTTCATGCTATACATCTGCCTGGGCGACCTGGACGCGTGAAAACAAGCGTTTCCCTAGGCGACATACGCCTAGGCGACCTGGGCACGCGAGACCAAGCGCTTTGCTTTAGACATTCTCAACACATCCTCATGTTAGACATCCGCCTGGGAGACCTAGAAACGTGAAAACACGTGTTTTGCTAGAGATATTCGCACCATATCCTCATGCTAGACATCCGCCTGGGCGATCTGAACACGTGAAAACAAGCGTCTCGCCCGAGACATCCAGCCCAAACCTTCGTGCCAGGCATCCGCCTAGGCGACCTCGACACGTGAACACAAGCGTTTCGCTTGAGATCTCCTCAATACATCCTCATGCTAGACGTCCGCCTGAGCAACTTGGACACGTGTAAGCAAGCGTTTCCCTCGAGATATCCTCAACACGTCCTCATGCTAGACATACGACGCCTGGGCGAACTGGACACGTGACAAATAATTGCTCGCTCGAGACATCTTCAACACATCTTCATGCAAGACATTCGCCCGGGCGACCTGGATACGTGAAAACAAGGGTTTCGCTTGAGACCTCCTCAATACACCCTCATGCTAGACGTCCGCCTGGGCGACCTGGACACGTGTAAGCAAGCGTTGCCCTCGAGATATCCTCAACACGTCTTCTGGACACGTGAAAACAAGCGTCTCGCCCGAGACATTCTCAACACATCCTCATGCTAGACGTCCGCCCGGGCGACCTGGATACGTAAAAGCGTTTTGCTCGAGACATTATCAACACATCTTCGTGCTAGACATACGCCTAGGCGACCTGGGCACGCGAGAACAAGCGTTTCGCTCGAGACATTCTCAACACATCCTCATGCCAGCCATCTGCTTGGGCGATCTGGACACGTGGGAACAAGCGTTTCGCTTGAGACATCCTCAAGACGTCCTAATGTTAGGCATCCGCCTGGGCGACATGGACACGTGAAAACAAGCGTTTCGCTCGAGACATCTTCAAGGCATCTTGATGCTAGACATCCGCCTGGGCGACCTGGACACGTGAAAACAAGCGTCTCGCTCGAGACATCCTCAACGCATTCTCATGTGAGACATCTGCCTGGGCGACCTGGACACCAGAAAACACTCAGAAAACAAGCGTTTCGCTCGACTTTCCCCCCGAACTCTGCAAAACGAGCGTTTCGCTTGAGACATCCTCATCAAATTCTGCAAAACACGCGTTTCGCTCGAGACATTCGCAACAACAGAACATGTATACTTTACCTGGTGATTTACCGATCGGAATTTCAAGAACCAGCGTTTCCTGTGGGATATCCTCACAATTAAATTCCGCCGTCCCTACCCGATTTAGTTATTTATCACATAAGAATTCAGCCGACCCTACGCAAGTCGAGGTTGGGGGCAAAACAAACTAAAAGAGAACCCTGGGCCTTTGCAATTTCTGAGAAAAGAAGAAGCTCGTAACTATTCTTGGTTCAACATGGCCTTCAGAGTCCTGGGGATGACGATAAGAGCGGGATGATATGCAGTACTGATACGTGCATTATTTCGTTGTGCCATGCCACGATTTATTCTTGACTATTGAGCAGGACTCGGGGGGAACAGCTAACTTTCCAGACTACCTTCAGCCAGGTCTGATTAGTTGGCCGACGCCGCAAAGTCCGCGGTAAGCGTTCCATATCTCCCCCATGCTTGGAGCACGGGTTGCTTTCGGGAGAGACTTGCATTATTTCGGCTGCCCTCCACACACAGCTCCGGCCGTGGAAGGAGGGCAAGGGACGTCGCCCTGCAGGCGGGGCACCAGCCGCAGTGGCGGCGCCCTTCGAGTTCGGCGAGGCCCTGCATCTACACGGCGCTGCGACGCAGGCACGGGTACCCCTCCCGCGCGCCCTGTCCCACCCCGCTGTCGCCCCCGTCCGTTTCCCGATGTGCCTGCTGTGCACCTCTGCCCTGCCCTCGGCGCCCCTTCTCCTCCCCCTGTTCCTGCAGGCCCTCCCACATGAACGAGGCGAGGCAGCCCCCCCTCCCCTGCAGTCCATCCCCCTCCCGCCCTCGCGCCTCTCCTGGAGCCGCTCCCCCCGTCCTCCCCCACCCTCCAGATCGCTGGGGCCCCTCGAGGTCCGACGTCGCGGAAAAGCAACCTCGCGGCAAATCACGCCCAGAGCCCTCGACACCACCCTTCTGCGGCACTCCTCGAGCCGAATCAGGGTGTGAGGGCCTTCGGGGACCGAGCGCCCCTGGCGTGAGACGACCTCGGCGCTTGGACCTCAGTGGTCGGGCCAGGCTTCCCTGCAGGCGGCAGAGGCCAGCCCTCTGTGCCCCGTGGATGCCGGGCCTGCCCGCCGCGCTCAAGGAGGAGGCATCCGCGCAAGCACTCCAACAGGGCTGAGTCAGGACCATGGTCATGATACGGTATCGGTCGGGCTCAGACATATTTGTACTACGTATGCGTCGCCTCTGAAGGGGCGACGCGCGCCCTGAAACATTTTGCAGCAGTAGAAGCACCGTGGCTGGCGATTTCTGGCCTAACCGCTTGGACAACGATAGACTACAACATGTGTGTACGGTAGGTTCGCGCCGTGTCGACCGGCGGCGGCCCGCCGCTGGCGTTCAACGTTGAACGCTGCCAGCGACCCAGAATCGATCGATGTTGAGCGTTCTGACGTTTCGGAAACGGCCGATTGTTCAAGGTTGAACGATCCCCGCGGTGTCAGAAGTCAACGCCATGGGCGGTAAGACACGAAACTACCGTACTATATGTTCGAGTCGGATGTGGGCCTCCAGAAACACATAGTATCAGTATGTCATTCTGCGCTCCATGCCACGGGAGGCACGTCAAATAAGACATCCACCTGCCGGCAGGCGCCAAACGGAGATTTATTACCCTCTGGTAGCCCAGGGAACACACAGGAGAACTGGGACACCCTAGCATCTTCAGTGATCTTCGCATGTTGTGCCCCAGCACCCATTGTAGCACGATCCAGTATCGTATGTGTCTTCTGTACGCTCGCAACCGCCACCGGACTCGCCAGCGTGAGACGCTCAGCTGATAACGCGCACCATGATGCGGAGGAAGGCTCGCACATCTCAGTGTATATATGTGTGCGGCTCCCACAGGAGGCTGCGCAGGCGCAGCAGCAGGCGGCGGCGTGCCAGCTGGTGGTCCTGCAGCAGGTGGGACCGCCGGCACCTCGGGCTGTCACCTGCCTTTCTTTTGTCGCGAGCGAGTCACGCAGGTTTTTAGCAGTTTTGGATCTCCCGGGGACCTCATTGGGCCTCGGGGCCGCCAAAAAGCGACCCAGAATGGTACCAGCCCCAGGAACGGGTCCAGACCTCTGGGGGTTGACAGTGCGAGCAAAATGCGCAGTCGGAGTTTGGGGAAGGTGGGGTGGTTCTCACATCACGCCTGGCCTCTTGCTCGTTCGGCGAGCGAGCATTTACGCGTGAACTGGGGCTACGTAGTGTTCTTTCAGGTTTCGTTAGATCTGACCTCGGCTTCCTGCCCGCTTGAGGCAAACCGTGATCACATAGTACACAGGGGATGTAGAACATTTGTAAGCACACAGTGGTACATGTACAGAAATGCGAAGTGTACAGCGCACCGTAGTCCGCCATTCATGAAGATTAGTGCGAGTGCTCTCCCTCCCACCTCCGCGACCGCAGTTGTTTGGGTTCAAACAAGGTGCGGCCCGTGCGCGGGCACGCGATCCGCGCCCGCGCGCGGGCGATTCTTCCGCCTGCTGGCGAGACCCCCCCAGGGGGAGGCTCGCTGCCGCGCGGCTCGCGGCTCAGCAAGAGGAGCCGTGGTTCCCTGTCCCCTGTCGGGAGCGCGAGCCGCGGCAGGCGGAGAGGCTTGGGCCATGGCGCCCGAGAAGCGGCCTGCGGCTGCAGCGCGGCGTGGTTCGGCCGCGCTGCGCCGCCCAGCCTCGTTGGCGCCGAGGGCGGTGCGAGGCAAGCGCAAGCCCGACAGCGCGCGCGGAGGCCGAGGCCGCTCCCGCGGCCACCCGCCACCGCGCCCCGACGGCGGCGTCACCAAGCCGAAAGGCGGCGGGGGCGGAGGGAGCCGCGGAGGCAGCCGAGGCGGACGGCGGGGTTCAGCCTCAGGGCTCCGCCAGTCTGCGCTGCGGCGCTCCCGCTCGGGTGGACGTGGGTCGCGCAAGGGCGAGCACCTCGCGCCTGGCGACCGAGCGGCTGCTGGCCTTGATGACGGCGACGACATCGCAGCCGACTCACGTCACGAAACGGGCCGCCCAGCTGGTGAGTGGTACCAGGGCGAGACCTGGCCGACGGCTGCCACGTCGGGCCCGAGGAAGGGCCAGCCGCCGATCATCGAGGTCGAGATGGACGGGCTGGCGACTTTCAAGGTGCTCGGACGGGCAGCGCAGGACAACGGCACGGTTCCCGACCCGATGCACGGCGAGTCCCCGCCTCTGTGGGAGGCCGCCTACATGGGCGCGGAGAAGCCCACCAGCGGAGGGAGCTCGCCGTGGCGTTCGACGATCCGGTGAGGACTCCAGTGCTGCACCTCTGCTCGGCGGCGGTTCATGCCGACGAGTGCCGCCTGGGCGAGGACCTGGTCGACGCACAGGTACTGCACGTGGGTCGCTTGCGCTCCGCCGTGCTGCCGTTCCGCGGCTACGCAGGCAAGGGGCTCACGCGCGACCTGGAGGAACCAGGCCATCGCGGACGCCAGGCGCGCGCAGGGCAGGCCAGCGAAGCGGAGCTCGCCCCCTGGGTCACCCCCTGGTCATCGGGGAGAGCGCGGGCGGCTCCAAGTCGGACGCCCGCCGCGAGGGGCCTGGAGGTGGCGCGTCGGCTCACGCCCGCGATCGAGGGGTGAGCGCGCGGCTGGGCGAGCTGCGCGAGCGTGCTGCCCAGCACGGCCGCCCTGCAGGCAGGAGCGGGAGGCTGCGGTCTGCGCCAGCGAGGATCCGTTCCAACAGCCCCGAGGACGAGGGGGAGCGAGGAGCCCTGGTCGAGGCAAAGAGTGCTGAGAGGAGCCACTCGCCTCGCCGGGAGAAGGCCCGCGACAGAGCGCCCAGTGCACCTGCCGGGGGCCGCGCCAGCCTCAGCAGCAAGATCCTGGACGAGGCCAAGTCGAGAGGCACCAGCTCTCAGCGTGGCAGCTCTGCAGGCGGAGGTGGAAGCTCTCGGGGTTCGCCTCCGCGCAAGGCGAAGCGCGAGAAGAAGAAGCGCCGCGAGGAGTCTGACGGCAGTGCGTCGAGTGAGGGGTCGTCGTCGAAGCGTTTCCACGACGCCCGCCTCTCCGCGCGCGACAAGGCCAAGCGCCTTGTGGAGAGGAGGCCGGGCGTTATCACGGAGCGCGCCTTGGCGAAGATGCGCGGCTACCTCGTCAGCAAGGGGCGCGCGGTCGAGGACGACGCGGCGCCGTGCATGCTGAACTACTTCACCAGCGTGTACCTGCCGAGCTGCCAGGGCAAGCTTCACGCTCGCAACGAGCTCGAGATGCGCGCACTGGCAACAGCGGTCGACGCAGTTCTCGAAGCCGATCTGGGGACTGCCACGGACGTGCTGATCCAGCAGTACAAGTCCATCGAGCAGCTCCACGCCGACGGGGGCACGTGGATGGCGGGTCGGCATGCCTCGGTGGTCGGCGACGGTCGCGTCAGCATCACGGACGATCGCGAGCGCGAAGCCTTCCTCAGGGACGAGAAGAGGAACATGCACTACCGCAAGCTGGAGGGCCAGGTCGGGTCGAACCGTGGCCAGTATTGACAAACACCCGCGGGGGGGCCGGCAGTGATCGGAGTGCCCCCGCGGTCAGGGTCGGAAGGCCCTGGAGGAAGCCGTGGTGTCGAGCTGAGGCCAGCAAGGCGGGTGGTCGGCTCTCGAGAGCGCAGTCCCGCAGGGCCTGTCACACTGACGCCAGCGAGAGACGCGACCTCGGCCGACCGCAGTCCCTCGGGCGACAACCGTGGAGGAGACAGGGTTCGCCCCTCGGAGTCCCCGCCGAGGAGGAAGCTGCACAACCCTGCGAGCCCTGCGGCCCACGTTGGATCGGACGGGGAGGGGAGTTGCCCCAGGAGGGCGATCGATCGCGCACCCCGTGGCGGCGCACGGCAGGTGCGGACCCCTCGCCGCCGCCGAAGGCGAGGCCCAAGGGCAGAGGCAAGGGCAAGCCGAATGCCAAGGGCAGATCCAGTGGGAAAGGCAAGGGCTCGGGGCCAGGCAAGGAACCAAGGACGGGCCCCCCTCAGTATTGGTTCGCCCTTCGCCAGGCCAACAAGAAGAAGGGCTGCTGAGGGCCCCCCCCGCCGCCTCGCTCGTACCCATCAAGGCGACGCGAGAGGCGGCGGAGACGGACCAAGCTCGGGCGCCTGGCTGCTCCACGCCAGCAGCCCAGCGCGGCGGCCAGGCGTGCCCTGGGCTTGAGGCCCTTCGAGGGCTGATCGATCCAGCCGAGCTGTCGGGCCTGGGACTGCCAGCCATTGGCCCCCTCCTCGCCCGCTGCCTCCCCCTCAGGGCGTCACCAGGGGTCGGTTGCAGCGCGGCAGCCTCGCACGGCCGCGGCTCCATGCCGATGGCTGTCGGGAGAGAGAGAGCGGGTGGAGCGAGGAGTGCAGGCAGACTGCAGCCTACAGACAGCTCGAGCGTGAGGGAGACGACGTGGGCCACCACCGAGCCCACCCTGTCCCTGACGGGCTGGAGGTCTGGCTCGAGCTGGTCATGCGAGCGCTTAACACCATGTGGTCGGCACGGCGCTCTTGCTGGTCAGGCGACGCATCCAGCGGAGTCAGGAGGAAAGGCGTGAAGCCGAGTGGCACCCAGGTCCAAATGTTCTGGAACCTGGAGAGGACGGTCGAGTCTTTCCTGGCAGCAGGACCGAAGTTGCCAGAGCAGACCGCCGCCACTTTCCTGACGTCCAGGCAGGTCACTTACACCGGGGAGGTCGTCAGGAATGCAGAGGACCTCTCATGGTCCCGTGTGCTGCCGAGCTTGCCGCCGCTTGCGCGATGTGCATCGCTGGACGCCATGTCCCTGTGCGACACCAGGATGCAGGAGTGGTTCAGTCGCCCCGAGCTCACGTTGGTGCCGCTGGAGTCAGTCAGCGAGAGACCACGCCCAGGCCGGGTGATGTGTGAGCCGCCGTCGCGCATTCCCCTAGGGAGAGGTCTCCTCGAACGTGGGCTGGTGGTGCCGCTTCGAGAGCAGGACCTCATCACAGTGGCGGGGCAGCCCCTTCTGAACGGGCTTTTCGGGGTCCCGAAGGCAGAGCCCTCGCCGAATGGTGACCCTGGGACCTTGAGGCCCATCATGAACTTGACGGCGACCAACTCCCTCACGGTCGACTTCGAGTGGGACATTGCGGCGCTCCCCTACTTCGCACAGTGGCGCTCGCTCATCATCGGCCCAGGTGAGGAGCTCACGTGGTCCTTCGACGACCTCAAGGGCGCCTTCTACCTGTTCAGGCTTCCAAAGTGCTGAGCGCCGCTTTTCGCGTTCGACGTCAAGTTCACGCCTCAGGAGCTCGGGCTGCAGGGGCACTGGCCGAGCAGCGTCTACCTCGGGGCGGTCGCGATGCCCATGGGGTACAAGAACGCGATGGGGCTCGTCCAGTACCTGCACCGCCGCATGCCGGTGCAGGGCCTGCAGCCCCCCCTCGGCCTTCCGCAGGCGAGGGAGATCCGCAAGGACCGCGGAGTGCCAGCCTTGCGAGTTGGGGGAGGCATGCGCGACGTCTGGCAGGTGTATTGCGACGACGCCGACTACGCGGAGAAGGTCGAGCGGCGCGCGTGCGAGCCCCACTCCGCCGCGGGGAGTCAAGTTGAGGAGAGCGGTGACGATGGGCGCTTCGCCCAGGCGGCTCGTGCCAAGTACCGCGCCCTCGATGTCCCTCTCAGCAAGAAGAACGGCACCAGAGTCAGCCACTGCCAGCGCCTGGGCGCCTGCGCTGATGGCTGTGACGGGAGAGTCGTTGCCCCCGCGGCTAGAGCAGGGCTGGCGGTGCAGCTGACGCTGCACCTTCTGCGCTCCAAGGTCAGCAGGAAGGACGTGCAGGTGGTGGCAGGGCACTGGTGCCACCTCGACTGTTTCCGTCGGGAGTGCTCCTGCGTCTTCACGCGCGTCTGGAAACTGATCAACGCCTGGACGGGGCCGCCTCGGCAGTATCTGTTTCCAGCTGTGGGCGCGGAGTTATTCCTGGCGCTCTGCCTCCTCCCGTTGCATCAGTTCGATCTGAGATGCCCAGTCTCCCCGCTGGTCACCTTCAGTGGCGCCTCGGAGACCGGTAGGGGCGTGTGCTGGAGCAACAAGCTTCGCCCGTCAGCCGTCGCCCCGTCGCTGGCCGACCTCTGCCAGGGTCGCGCAACCGGGAGAGACGAGGTCGGACTGGCGGAGCTCTTCAGCGGCATCGGGGGCGGCAGGATGGCTTTCGACCGCCTGGGGATTGAGGTCGCCGCCCACGCCACCGCAGAGCTGCTGCCCGAGGCTCGGCGCGTCAGCCATCAGCAGTGGCCGTCAGCGATAGAGCTCGGAGACGTGACCAAGATAACGTTGAATACCATCAAGGCCGCGATGTCGAGGGCGCCCCACTTGCGCGTCCCGTTCGTGCTAGGGGGGTCCCCGTGCCAGGGAGTCGCTCGCATCAACGCCTGTGGGCAGGTTGGGCCGAGGACCGCGCGCGACTGGTGCAAGAGCTGCCTCGCGTAGCAGGCCTTGTGCGAGCCGCCCTCCCCGATGTCTAGGCATTCACCTTGGGCGAGAACGTCAGCTCGATGACGGCCGCCGACAGGGGGAGATTCAGCCAGGGCCAGGTCATGGGAGTCGTGCCCGTGGAGCTCCGTGCCGGCGGGTGCAGTCTGGTCAAGCGGCCGAGGCTCTACTGGGTCGACTGGCCGCTCGGGCCCGAGACCTCGGAGTTCCAGTACCAGCAGAAGGACGAGGTCACCGAGGCAGTGCTCACTGGCAGCTGGCCGAGTTGGGCAGAGCAGCTCGAGCAGGGTGCGCGCCGTCCGCGGGGAGAGAGGGGAGCTTGGGCCACTTTTGTGCGCTCCATCCCTCGCGAGAGGCCGCCGCCTTCCCCAGCGGGGCTGGGAGTGACCGACCAGGCTTCGCGCGAGCGCTGGGCGGCGGACAAGTACCGCTACCCGCCGTACCAGTACCGCAGGGACAACCTGGTCGAGGCATCCGCCGCTTCGGCGAGGACTTGGGAGTCGGGCGCCAAGCACAAGCTCCGACCTCTGACCAGCAGAGAGCGGGCTGTGCGCCTAGGGTTCCACTGGAACCATTGCAGCTGGGCCGTGCCCAAGTCCGAGTCGGGGTCGATCGACGAGGACGTCAAGTGCTCGCTGCTGGGTAACTCCTTCTCAGTCCCGGTGATAGCCTTCCTGCTTGGAAGAGGTTTTGGTGGCCGCTGGAGTCTTGAGCGAGCCGCCGACTGTCGCCGAGTGCTGGGGAGCCCCAGGTGGGGAGGGAAGCCTCTACTTGGAGTTGCTGCTGGACGCGCCTGCCGCCGAGGCGACCCCCGATCAAGTGCGCCGCGCCCTTTGCGAGTCACTTGTGCGGAGCGCCATCTTCAAGGGCAGAGATGTGCGCGCCGCGACGGGAGGCCTTTGGAAGCCTGCGGGCTGGCCAAGGAGAGGCGTTGATGCAGACCGCTGGCTCTGGCGCGCTTGCCTGAGCTTCAAGCAGGGAGGCGCGCACATCAACGTCTTGGAGCTGCAAGCCCTCTTGACCGCCGTGTCTTGGCGCATGAGGGGCCGTGCGAACATACGCACGAGGTTTATTCATTTCTGTGACTCTCAGGTTTCCATAGCAGTGGCCTGCAAGGGTAGGTCGCAGTCCCGCCAGCTTCAGTCCATCCTCATGCGCTTGAACGCGCTCCTGCTTGCCACGTCCAGCCACCCATTTTGGGTCTTTGTTCGGTCGGAGCTCAATCCGGCCGACGCTCCGAGCAGATGGTGGCAGCCATAGTGCTCAGTAGCGGGACGAGGAAGCAGAGAAGGGATGAGCGAAGCAGAGCGGGAACTCTGTGATCATTGCAGCTCCAACCGCGCACTGTCCAGCGGTATCTGGAGGCCACACATATATTTTTTCCAGTGGCTCCTGCGGCTTGGCGAGCCCTTGCCTGTCTCGACCCCAGCCGCCGACGAGATTATTGGGGAGTATCTCGAGGATTGTTGGGCGGCTGGAGAATCCAAGAGCTTGGTGGGAGACGCGTTGTCGGGGCTCCAACACTTTGTTCCAAGCTTGCGCAGAGGTCTCAACGATTCTTGGAGACTGTTCGGCACCTGGTCTAAGACCGATATCCCTTCCCGAGCTCGGCCGCTGTTGCCCGAGCAGGCGCTGGCGATGGCAGGCTTTGCACTAGAGGAAGGAGACAACGCGACAGCTGCGGCAGTACTAGTGTGCTTCAACGGCATCATTCGATCATTCGCCCCGTCGAGTGCATGTTGACAGCTGGGCAATGCGCCTTTGACCTGGACGGTGGTGTGGTGCACCTCAACCTCGGTTTCACTAAGGGAGGTAAGAGGTCAGGCACCGCCGAGCGCGTCACCATCGACGAGCTCGAGACTGTTGTGCTCCTTGCCGAGCTTTTGCAAGGATGCCCAGCTGGCACCCAGCTGTGCCCCCGCGGCGCGGGCGGCTTCCGCCGTGCCTTCAGGAGACTGGCCCAGTCCATTGGGACCGACCCTGATAGGTACACGCCGTGCTCGCTGCGCCGGGGAGGGGCCACCCACCGCTTCAAGATCTTGGGAAGTCTCTCCAAGACATGTATTCGCGGCCGTTGGAGGCACCAGCCCACGGCTCGCATTTACATCGAGGATGGCGTGGCCATGCTGGAGCGCCACGGCCTCAGCGCGAAGGAGCGACGGTTGATAGCCAGAGGAAAGTCTTTGCTGCGCCGTCGTCTCTGATGCCCGTGCCCTGGGCCCTCGGACGCCCATCAGCTCCGCCAATTCAGTGCAGCGTGGGAGGTCGCGCGCGCTGGGAGTGCATGCGTGGAGCGGGCGCGCGCCTGAGTGCTGCGGCTTGCCACCCTCGGCACCCAGCGACCAGGCAGACCAAGCCACCTCCTGCGTCCAACGCGACGCCCCCGACGGCCGTCGGAGGGAGGCGAGGGCGGTTCGCCTGGGCCGTCTGGCGCCCTGCTCCTGAGGTACCCCGCCGCATCACCACTAAGGCGCGGGCTGCCGCGGCCAAGAGAAAAGGAGCGCGGTCGCGGCAGCATCAGACGGGAGCGAGGAGAGGAGGAGTGAGGATCACTAGTCCGTCATTCATGAAGATTAGTGCGAGTGCTCTCCCTCCCACCTCCGCGACCGCAGTTGTTTGGGCCACCGACCCCGCCCAGCAAGACTGACGCCTTGAGAGTCTGCTAACCTGAATGCATCAAGGGCTCTCGCCCCCGCTGGGGGGAGAAGAGTGGGCGCGCGCCTGAGTGCTGCGGCTTGCCACCCTCGGCGCCCAGCGACCAGGCAGACCGAGCCGCCTCCTGCGTCCAACGCGACGCCCCCGACGGCCGTCGGAGGGAGGTGAGGGCGGTGCGCCTGGGCCGTCTGGCGCCCTGCTCCTGAGGCATCCCGCCGCATCACCACTAAGGCGCGGGCTGCCGCGGCCAAGAGAAAAGGAGCGCGGCCGCGGCAGCATCAGACGGGAGCGAGGAGAGGAGGAGTGAGGAGCACTATATATATATATATATATATATAGATATATATGTGCAGTAAGTTTTCACCGTAAATATACAACGCAAGTGCGCACCATAAGTAAGCATCGTATACGTGCACTGTAAATCTGCACCGTAACTGCGCATCGTAAGTCCGCACCGTCAAAGTGCACCGTAAATACGCACCGTAGATCGGCATTGTAAGCACGCACCGTAAATAGGCATCATGAGTACGCAGCGTAAGTGCACACCCTACATACGCATCATCAATGCGCACCGCAAGCATTCACCGTAAATGCGCACCTTCCAAACATTCGAACCGTTGATGCGCACTGTGACTGCGCACCGTGTAAAACGCGCCGTCTGTAAACACGCACCGTCAATTCACCGTACGTGCGCACTGTTGATACGCACCGTCAATACTTTATGCCAATGCACACCATAAATAGGAATCGTAAATCAGTATGTGCACAGAGTGCATGTATATCCGTAGGGGCTTCGCCGCCTGCCGCTGGCCCCCTCTCTCGGAGAATGGGGCATGCAAAAGCTATGCTGTGAGGCCTGGGCGACGTCGTGAATCAGCGCCGCCACCCCGCACGGGGGCCACTGGAGATATCCAGGTGCCTTGCAGATGTTGGCATCTTGGGTCTCTCTTGGGGGTGTTTTTGGAGCGCTCTTGGGGGCCTCTTGGGACCCTCTTCGGCTGCTTGGGACCATCTTGGGCGCCTTGGAGCACTCTTGGGCCGTCTTGGGGGCGCGGCCTCGAAAGCGCGAAGATGTCGCACTTTGCAAGGGTTTATGATTTCGGAGGCGCGAGGAACGCGTAATTTGCGAGGGCTTGTGGCTTCGAGCACGCAAGCATTGCGTAATCTACTGTGAATTCTGGTTTCGGGAGCGCGAACGCAATGTACTTTGCTTGGGTTTACCGCCTCGGGTAGTGAAATTCACCCGGGAGTATGGTTTCGGGGGCGCGAATTTCATTTATTTTAACGTGTTTCAGGACCACCGAGAAATTGTGGGAACCCCCACAGGTGGTGGTAACCAGGGCCCTTTTCGGCTCTGCCCCCTCGCGCTGACTTCAACACCTCACAGTAGGCAGTAGAAAGTAGGAGTATAACGTTGCAGATAGGATATTTGACCAGGCGGATAACGCGTGTGTGCGTGTGTGTATGCAGAGTGCGTGTGTGTGTGTGTATGTGTATGTGTGTGTGTGTGTGCGGACGCGTATGTGAATACAACGTGTGTGTACACAGCGCGTGTGTGTACACACCTCAAGTGCACCGTAAACGTGCACAGTGAATCTGCACCGTAAATGCGCACGGGATGGACTCAGCATGTGTGTATACAGCGCGCGTGTATGCGTGTGTGTGTGAATACGAAGTGTGCGTGCGCAGCGAAAGCGTGTGTGTGTACACACCGTGAAGACACGCCGTGAATATGCACAGTTTCCGAGGCGGGGATCGATCTTCGGGGACCTCGGCAGCGGTGGATCTGGAGACATTTTTGGCCCCAGGCCGTCTCGCACATTGGCCCCTCGTTGCCGTCCACCCGATTTTGGATATCTTGCGCCTTGGGAGGGTAGAACCGCCAGCGAGCCAAAGGGGAAGTGAGACGGGGCAGGCCTTCTTAGAAGCCCCGCCGCCTTCTGAGAAGGCCCGCCCTGACTCCGGATCCGCCGTGCTTTGGCTGATTTTCCGATTTAAGTTGCGTCGGAAATGCACACCGATCAACCCTATTGGCGAGATCGCCCAAAGTAAATTGGATCTTGAACCAGGGTGCTCCCTCTCACTCGGCGTTGCGTAACGGGGGCGAAAAATGGAGGGGGGGGTGAAGAAAGGTGCATTTCTTGCGCCCTAATGGGGCCCTGATGGGGCCCCCTGGGGCCCGAATGGGGCACGAAAGGTGCACTTTTCTTCCCCGCCCACTGATCGCCCCCCTTTCAGCAATGCCCGACTCGCTTCCTCCCAGGGCTTGCCGCCGATAGGAGCTTCCAGAGACTGCCAGCCGTCGAGAGGGCCTGCCCCTGCGATCCTAGATCGACATAGCATGACCGCTGCTCCGCTACTACCCATGTCGACCTACGCTCGCTTCGTCGATCGGATCGGGAGCAGAAGCAGGAGGCATCCCTGGGATCGTCGCCGGTGGAAGTTCCTCCGGCCGCCCCCTGAGCCGGAGGCCGGGCTGCTGCCCCCGACGCCTGTGCTCGCGCTGGCGTGGCAGGCGGCCCAGCAGCAGGCCTGCTCACGGGCGGAGGGGAAAGTGACCGCCCGCCTCTGTGGGCCTACGACAGGGCTCGCAACCCCCTCCCCGTCGTCGTCTCCGTCTCCATCGTCGTCGTCGTCGTCGTCGTCGTCTCCGTCTCCATCGTCGTCGTCGTCGTCGTCGTCTCCGTCGTCGTCGTCGTCGTCGTCGTCGTCGTCGTCGTCGTCGTCGTCGTCGCCCACAGGTTGGGGGGGAATGGCGCGCCCGCCTCTGCGGGCCCGCAACGTGCCACAACGGGGGGGGGGGGAAAAGAGGAGGAAGAAGAGGGGGAGGAGGAGGAGGATACGCTCGGGAACTTTGGCATGGTATGTAGTGCAGCCAGTTCTGACCTACCGCGCCACGGCGCGACACGCTACTTATCCATTTCCGGGTCCCCAGCGCCCCTCCACATCGTCGTCGTGCACACGCTGGCGGGGGGGGAGCGTGCTGGACTAGTGGGGTAGAGGGGGGAAGGCTTCTTATAAGCACCTTGCTTCTCAGAAGGCGCGTGCCTTATTTACAGGTGAAGGCCCTGCGCCTTCTAAGCAGCAGCCTCCTTCTAAAAAGCCTTCCCCCTCCCCCATATCCCCCTTTTGCGCGCCGCCAACCTCCCGTCTGAGGTTCGGGTGTCATCCTGTCCCTCCCTGCTTGTTTGTGTGTGTGTGTCTGTGTGTGTGCGTTGTCTCTGCTGTTTTTCTTTTTTGCGGCCTATGCGAACAATATCGCCTATGAGGTGGCATGACAGCATACCCTGGCCTGTGGCATGTCATGCTGCCCCTGCTGAGCAGGCACCACCTCGGGGTCGACGCCACTTCAGCGGGGATGATGGCCCCTCCAGGCCCTTCTCCTCGAGCCCCGCTGGATCCTCCAGAGCGCTCGCGGGGGAGGAGGGAAGAGGAGGAGAGGGGGAAGGGAAGAAGGGGGAGGGAAACATAATCGACCCACGAACCCGGAAAGGAATACAGAAATATAAGGCATGGCAGCGTTTTCAAAGACAGCTGATTGGGCGACGGCCAATTGCAATGCTGAGTGTATCGATCTTGATATACCGTGCCAAGGGCTGTGCTGTGCTGCGCCGTGCTGAATTGCGATGTGTGAGTACGCCCGCCAGCCTAGAACGGAAGGTTTTAGTGTGAGGTGCCTGGGGAGGGGGAGGGCCATCCGTCTCTCTTCCTCCTGTCCTCCCCCTCCTCCGCGGCCCACTTGGGCTCAAGCTTTTCCCTCGGGCCCTTGAGCAGGGTAAGCGCGCGGGGGCGCGCGCTCGCCCCGCGGCCAGGGGCCGCACAGGCCCACCCGCCGGCGGCCATTGCGCAGAGGGCGCATGGCAGCCAGCCCCGCGTGACGGCTCCTGCCGCCGGCGGGCGGGTCGGGAATGATGACGCTGCTGCCGATGATCATCGGCGCCGTGGCGGCGGTCGAGATCGGCCAGAGGTGGCGAGGGCAGCCAGCGACGCCCGCCCTGCCACCTGCGGCCCGCGAGGACGGAGGAGGTCCGCGTGGCGAAGCCGAGGCGGACGGTGCGAGGGCATACCCTCCTTTGCTGCGGGCGCTGGAGGAGGACCAGCGGCGCCGCAGCTCGGCGGCGGCTACTCAGAAGCCGCAGCGCCACCCGCCCTTGACGGCGAAGCCACGCCGTAGTGGCCGCGGCCGGCAAAGGGCGAGCACCTCCGCTGGGGCCTGCACCGGGCAAGCCGGCAGGAGGAAAGGGGCGGCAGTCGCCCCCGGCGGCGGCGGCAGCGGCCGCCCCGCAGCCGACCGCGCCCCCAGAACCATTGGGCGACGGGGGCGAAGGGGCGCCGCGGCGCCGCGGCGCCGCAGGAACACAGTGTGGGAGTGGCTGGCGGGGCGGAGGCGTGCACCGCCAGCGAGGCGTGATGCAACCGAGGCAGACCCTGCAGCGGACCCACACGCCGAGGAGGAAGAGGATGCCGAACGGCATGGGTGGTTCAGCTTCGGCAGCATCAAAGTTGGAGTCAGCTGGCTGGGGGGATGGATCACGGACACGCCGGCACCGGATATCCAGTGGTCGGACATGATGTGGAGCGGAGGAGGTCTTGTCGGCAGCGGCCTGAACACCCTCGGCTACACGGCGTTCGGGTCGGTTTGACCGATGATGTGCTGGACTACCTTCGCTGGCTTGGTGGCGGCGTTGGTGATCGGCCTTGGATACGGACTGCATTCCCTAGCCTCGGCGATTGGTATGCTGGTCTGTGCCCCACTGAGGTGCATCGGCAGAGCGCTGGGGTGGTGCTGCCCCGACTCGAAGCCTGGGCCGACGGCGGTCGACGACGGCGTGGTACCCGAGCTGCACCAGCCCGCAACCTCGACCCCGGTGGAGAACGATTTCTACGCCCAGCTGCGCGCCAAGGGGGCCGACAAGATGCCGCACCACCTCATCATTAAGGTGGGAGACACGGCGGCCAGGTTGGAGAGGCCTGCGCTGAACACGGGCATCAAGTACAAGAAGGCCGGGGTCGCGTGGCCCTACAAGGAGGTGTTCGCTACCACGTCGAGGAGGCTGCGCGAACTCTTGGAAGATTCCCAAGACAAGGTGGTGCACCTGTGCCGGGGCGTGCCCTACCCAGACGACGGCAATAACGCGGTGCATGCTCCGGCTTCTGGTTACGTGGCGGCGGGCACGGACGCCAACCTCGACGCCCTGGTGTCGGCCCCGCCGAGGCCCTGCTAGGCGGGCCGAGACGTGGGCACTGCAGCATCCACGTGTGGCCGCGGGTGCGCTGCAGTGGGGCTGAAGGGCTGCGCCAAGCTGTGCGGGACTCTCAAGAGGCGCGGGCAGTGAGGTTGCCAGCGTGGGCGACGGAGGGGATCAGACCCACCAGCGGCGCTGCTGAAAGACTCAAACTCGGAGACGGGGTCGGGGCCGGAGCACCAGCGCTGCCTGGCCCGCGAGGTGCTGCACCAGGAAGGGGACACGATCTACCAGCTCAGCCCGGAGAAGTGCCGTGATCGAGCACATGGCGAACCCATCCGCTTGGTCACGGAGGATGGTGAGAAGTCGAACTTTAAGGGCTCCGGGAAGGCGGCTACCCTGCGCTGGCAACACACCAACATCTACCAGCGGGAGAGGGGCTCGAGGAAGTGTGCCCATTTTGGGTGCCACGCCCTGGGTCGAGTGATGAGCCGCGGGGTCGAGCAAGACCTGGCAGCGCCCGCTTCATCCCAACCTGCGCCCCCCCCCCCCCCCCCCCCCCCCGACGGCCCTGCGGCGGTGGCCGTGGGGGTGGCGCTGGAGCGATCTCGGCCCTCGAGGTCCCGCCCCCCCCCCGCCGCTGGGAGCGCGGGCTGATCAGCGGGTGGCTGCGCCCGCAGACGCGTGGCCGACGTCCACGGTGCTGGGGCCGCAGGGCACAGACACGGCCAACAAGTGCTACTTCTACGTGCGCCAGCAGGTCAGAGAGGAGGGGGGCTGGACCACCTACCGCACCCCGTGCGTCGACGCGGAGGCCAAGGTCCTCACTAACTTGGGGCCAGTGGTGGAAGATCGAGTTCGGGGGGAAGCGATGGCCGCTGGGGCCCCCGCGATCATCCTGCGCACGGGCGCGCTGCCCCCCGACGGCATGGGCGAGCATGGCAAGACGGCGAGCCCGGTGGCCGTCGCACTGGCCAGGGCTGCAGGACGTGAAGATCACCCACTGTGCATCCTGAGGCGTGGAGTTGGGCAGGAGCGAGGGGTGGCGCTGCAAGGCCCACCAGCCTGCCTGCCGCAGCCGCCGCGGCGCGACGCGATAACCCGAGAGGAGCTGGGCGGGCCGGCGAGCGGGGCTGCCCGCGCCCGGCGGGGGCATCGCGGCGAGGGCGCACTGGCTCGAGACTTCTTGCAGTCTCGTGCAAGTGGCGGAGACCACCCACGTGATGTGGCCGAGCGGCACCAGGACAACGAGGGCTTCGACGACCTGGGAGACGCATGCGACGCCATCGCGGCGTCGCTCGAGGCGCTGGAGCGGGACCGAGGGTCTTTCATGACAGACGAGGAGGTGGACAACCTGCGGCAGCTGGCAGAGGCACTTCGCGAGGGGCGAGGACTCAGCCAGGCCCGCGAGGAGGAGGAAGTTGAGGGAGGAGCTTGGCGAGAAGGACTGGCACGCCCGGTTCCTGGTGGCCCGCAGCCCGGGACCATGCTGGCCCCGCGCTCGGGGGCGGTGGAGCTGCCGCCCGGGCTCGGCAGGATGCCGGAGCCGCCCAGGGCTCAGTGAGGTGAGAGGGGTGGCTCCAGCGGCTGGAGGCCGAAGCCGAGGGCCACCGACCTCATCGCATCGGGCGCGGACCTGAGGGGCGCCACCGTGCGGGCTGAGCTTGCGCGCGGACCGCCGTCAGGGCGACCCGCAGTGGACCCCTCGCCACCGCCCATGAACCTGCGCGAGCAACGGTCGGGACCAACCTTCGGAGTCCCTGCGCGGCGGCGGAGGGTGAGCTTCGACGCCGAGGAGCACGGGCCGTCCGAGAAGGTCCTTGGATCGGCTGGCGCCCTCGGGGATACAGACGCCTCAGACAGCGGCGGCATGGCGAGGGTGATGGCGGACATCGCGCGCAACCTCGATTTGTCGAACAAGCGGGCGTAGGACGCGGCAGCTGGGAAGATGGGCGCGCCCCAGTCCATCGCCAAGGACCGCGAGCTGCTGGTGCTGGTCGCGCGCGGCTGCGGGAGGTTTCGGGTGGCGGTCTGCCCGGATGAGCTGGGCCGCCCACTGGTGATGGCGCTTCTGCGGATGGCGGAGCATTCTTCAGCGCTGTTCAAGCACCATCGTTGGCCGACCCTGATCAACTATCGGATCGCCTTCTCGATTGCCGCGGGGTCGCGGGGCGGCGAGGAGGCGGAGACTATGGCAGCGCGCTCACTTGGCGCGGCTGACTGGGTAACTTGTCCTGAGGAGCTGTTCGACGACTGCGCGCCGACGACGGAGAACAAGATCGAGCCCCGCCCGAAGCAGCCAGTGGGCATGCTGAAGTGGGCGCGCCAAACGCGCAACGGGATC